CCAGGCTAGTCTCATTTCTGATACTCCTGCCTCAGCCTCCCAGAATGCTGGGATTACCGGCAAGTACCTCCATGCCCATCCCCTTTTCTCTTCTTTAAAACCAGTTCTTCAGTGAAGCAGAACTACATCGCCCAAAATTTGTGTAATCAGTGGCTGCTCAAAATTTGGAAACTACACTTCTCACTTGTAAATCTTTAAAGCTTAAAAATGAAATTATACCAGCTTTTCTTAGGGTCCTTGCCAGTGTCTCTCTGACCCTACCCCTGCTGTTCTCATAACTACTGTAGAGGTAATTGCATGAACCGAAGAGAATGCTTTCACCGGTGTGTGCTTGGCATCCATTTTACTTTCTATTCTCAAACTGGAGATTGCTGTCCAGCCTCATAGAATAATTTATTCCATCATAACATTTTTTAATGATCACCATGTTTATTAATACATTAATCTAAGAGTGACTAAGTGAGCTGTCATTCTGTCTTGGAGCTCTTTCTCTAATATGTTTGCTTTCTTTTCCAAATAAATTAAGAGTTGCATGTTTCCTAGTAGATGTGAGCTACTTCATGCTTACTTTATAGAGGCATTTAAATTTCTTCAGGCTTATAAATCTAGATGTATTACTAGTTTATCTTTATTGCACATTGGAATGAGGCAGAGGATGAGAAAAAGCATGAAGTTAAATCAATTAGCAACCCCAAATAATAAATTAACTATTTAAATGGTACCCTTGCATATATATTTTGCAAAGGGTGATCAAAAATGATGGTTAATGTTTTGATTAATAAAAACACATTATAGTAAAAAAACACATTGCCAAGAACTACGGGATGGTATTCAAAGTGAGAGGGAGTACTTTGAATATTTTCAGGGAGATTAATGGCCAGTATCTTTTACTGTAAAACTTTTAAAAATGTAAACATTCATCAAATTGCTGATCCTTTTATTAAGCATTTACAGCAATTTCTGACAAATGACATTATGATGTGTTGTCATCCACCTTATCCACTGGATCTGGCACCATACTACTTCTGGCTCTTCCCAAAGTCAAAATGACCATGCAAAGTAAATGTTTTGAACTGATCCAGGCAGTCACAGTAGCAACTAAAGACACTCAGGACAGAGGACTTCGAGAACTGCTTCAGAAAGTGGCAAGAACAATGGGGCAAGTGGGTTCCAAGACAGAGGTAATATTTTGAGAGGAATTAATGGCTGTGTTTTTTACTGTCATTCTAAAAATTTGAACATTTACCATATATTTTAATCACAACCTCTACATCTCTGGCACCGTTCAAGTTCACATAAATGGTAAATGCTTTCTAAATGACTGATGAATATGATTTGATGAAATCATTTAGGATTTCACTTGCTATTCTCAGAGAAACTCAGTTGTGATCTGGCTAGGTATTTAAGAAAAAAACTAGCAAGCTGCTGCAAATCCAGCTTCCTACTGGACAACTCTACTTTTTGGCCCAGTTCATTCCAAATTGACATTATTATGTTTATATTTTTAAATTGTTTTTACTTTTATTAGTACATGTTTGCAGTACATAATGATTATGTTCACAGGGTGGTCTGGTACAGGTATATAACACATTTCAGTTCCCTTCTTTTCCCCTCTCCCTCCACACCCTTTTAATTTTTCCATCATCAAATTCATTTATTTATCTTGTAAGATCTTATAACCTTAACTATCATATATGCCTATTAGGCCAAAGAACATATAATACATGTAAGACAATTGTACTAAGTCAAATTAACATTTTAAAATACTGGAGTTAATATCTTTCTTCAAAAATAAGCCTACCAACCACAATAAAACAGCAATCAGAATCTTTTTCTTCTTTTGTGGTTTTGACCTCTTGAGACCTGCAGTACTGTCTACCAGACTGTCCATGCTGAAAACCTGGAGGTCAGGCTGGGTTTGCCTGAGCAATGAGGAGAAGCAGCAATAAGTGCTAATTTCTGATTATCATGAACACGTTAACTTCTTTAAATCCGTGCGCTTCTTTCCCCACTCGTCCAGGAATCTATCCCTAACTCTGTGCCAGCCTCTCCGGTCCCTCACTCTGCACAGTGTGGCTAGAGGAACTGTTATAAGTACAAATCTGGGCACCGTAACCCCCCTGGTTTATGACCCTCTCACTTGACATCTACTGATCACAGGATAAAATCAAAACTCATCAGCAGAAAATACTTATGATCTGGCCTCATTTATTTTTTGGGCTCATTTCTTACTATTCCCTGTTCACTGGAATGCTCCGTAAACCAGAATTGTTTGCAGTTCCTTAGCTGCACCACCCCTCCCTTGTATTTCCATTTTGTATGGATGCTACGGTTCCTGTCCCCTTTCCCTTGGCCTTCCTGCTTTTGTCCTTCCAGTTGCAGCTCAGGACTCACTTCCTCTGGGCCTCTTCATTTTAAAGGCTGTTTTGGTGTCTCCACAAGCAGTTCCACTCTAACTCCCTCCCGCTCTGTTGTGCTGCTGTAGAGAGAGATTTACTAGGAGTTTCCTGATCCATGCACACGTTTTTCACTGAAAGCTCAGATGAGAATTTAGATGATTTCATAATAGCAGCTGCCATACACAAAAGCCAAAGATGTCACGACAAGAAAATATAGCCCCAGAGAAAAATTTTTGTTAGGAATGCAACTAACTGGCGTGTACAGTGATGTGATTGTCAGTGATTCCTTCGGATATTATGTTGGATCGTTTTACAACATGTGCGCTGATGTGGTCCTGAGAGAGGTTTGAAAGAGGTCTGAGAGAACTCAAAGTGGTCATGGCTGCCATTCTCACCGAAAGTTGGGGCTTGGGTACAGTGAATGTGCACCTGTGACGTTCTGAGGGAGCAGCTTTGCTGACCACAGCGTACTCCAAGAATTGACTCTGACCCAGTTCAGTTTAAGTCTGACTTATGTAGTGGCCCATGTATGAGAACAGTTAAGGATGACACCTCGTAACTGTTTTCTTAAATAGAAAAACATGCACAGATATTAAATAATAGCTATCTTTCTCATTAAGGAGAATCATTCACTGTTTTAATGTCAGGGACTCAGAATCATGATTCAAAGCACCTGCAGAGGGATCTGCTTTTTGACATGACATTTTTGTGGCTTTAAATAAATTAAGTCACTAAATCTACTGATGCTGTATACTTTTTTAAAAAATAAGAGAAGTAAGGATGCGGTCGCTCCATCGTTACATTTGCTTTCACCCAGCAGAGCATTCTTGGGTGATGAATAACCTCTTTCCAAATACATCTTTACTTATGCCCATCCTTGGTCCTTTTTGTCATAAATTAGTAGGCCATAAAACACTCTAGTATGTTGTAATAACTTACATTGTTTTCCTCCAAACTTACCTGTATGTTTTCTTTTTTCAGCTGCAATGTAGTTCTATCAGTACAAGTCTCTTTAATTCCTGATCATGACCCTATAAATGTTTTCTCATTGTGTAAACATTTATTTAACAGATACTCTGAGCACCCACTATGTAGATATGTCTGCAAACACTGACTATATAGAAATGAATAAAACAAAACCAAACCCATGTCTTCACAGAGCATATATCATTATGGGTATGCCATATAATATAAAAGATGGATACACAGTGTTAGACAAACCTAAGGATTGAGCATAGTTTAATGGTAAAGTGGAGTAATGGGAAGCTCCAGGGAAGCATGTGTAATTTTATAGAAGGAGACCTATTCAGCTCCACAGTGGCCGCTGAGTAAAGACTTGGAGAAAACTCAGAACACAAGTGCTGCAGATGCGTGGATGGAAACTTTCTCACTCAGAAAGAATAACAAGCACAGATGTCCTGCTGCAGGTGGGTGCAGGTACCTGCCAAGAATACAAGGGTGCCTGTTTGATAGTGTGGAATGCACCAGAGCAAAACAGAGCATGAAGATGGACAGCTTATGATGACCCCTAGACCATTCATGAAGGACTCACACTCATTGTTGAGTACCATGCTTTTTGTGCTGGGTGAGGTGGGAAGCCCCTGATGGAGGTTTTCGGGGTGAGGACGGACAAGATCTCAGGCCACCCTGGCTACCGTGATGTTGACAGGGTGGAAGAGCCAAAGCAGGACATCCAGCTAGGCTTGTGCAGTGATCCAGGTGGGATACGCTGGGTGGGATACAGTGACAGCCTGGGTGGTTGTTGTGGGAGACATGAACTGACAGAAGCACAAGCCCTGGGTTGGACTTGGTGCTTGGAGAGGACCTGTCTTACAAGCAGATGAAGACACAGGCAATGAAGATATACTTGTTTGGAGTCCAGGGGAGAAGTGGAATGTGGTACACAGATTTAATCTTCCTCGCTAACTCAGATTTCAAAGGTAAACAGATGTAAGAGGATATAAAGAAAGTTTACATAGGCAACCCATTCTAAGTATATTTCTTGTATTCCTGGCAACCCTAGTTAATTTTGGTAGGGCATAAGGCTCACTGCTCATCAGAATGCTCTCACATAATTCCACTCAGATTTTGCTAATTTGGAGGATAAATTTTTAAAAGTTCCAAATAGGCAGAAGTTGCTCTGACATTCGCCTCTGATTTCCAAGTGAACAACAGATTTATAAAGAAAATCAATGCTATACACAAGATAATAAAGGAGCTGCTAAGTCCATATCAGAAAAATACTCCTTTATTTTCTTGAAAGATTCTTGTAAACTATAATCCATAGCTTATAACAACAGTCCATTCACCTACAGGGAACACTTTAATGAACTGTGGCTACAATATGCTTTCTACTTGAATAAAGATATCTATTTGTAAAAATTTATACAACCCATATCTTCTTAGTAAACCAGCCACTTTAAGGTGTTAGAGACATTTTACCGTGTTATATCTCAGTTGCCTTAATAGCAAACTGTGCAACTTAGGCACAAGGAGTAGCAACTACATACATCAAGAAACCTAAATAAAAAATGCACAGGATTTAGAATCATACTAAATATACACATAAAGACTCTACAAAATGCCAGGATGAAGAAAATGGAAACATTTGCAAAGGTATTTATTGAGAAATAGTAAAGATGTACATATTTTTACAAGCTTTTAATATTAATTTACATTTCTTTAAATTAGGTAGGCCCCAATAATCTATACTGTACTAATACATAACAGAATCCCTTGACTTTGACTGTGAGATTTCCATAATGCTACCATAGTTGGGAGTCAAAACGCAACTTTGGCTCATGATGCTTATGTTTGTTTTAAAAGAAATACTAAATGCCATATTCATGGAGAATGTAGGTGTGTCATAAACAAATGTGCTTTACAAAAACAACTTCATAGTGGAGCATGCTGTTGACATTATTTTGAATCTTAGCTCACCAGAGACTAAAGGAAAAAAAATTTTAGAGACAGGTGTTCCTATTTCTTTGTGACTAAACTATATGATTCTAAAATATTTTTGACTCTGAATCTGATTTATACATTTTCAGGGATATAGTGTCTTTATCATATGCTATAGTGTCATTGTCAGGCCACCTATTTTATTACTGAAATTATACAGCCTTGATACTTTTTAAGGTGCAACACAAGGTGGTTATCTTTCCTAGTAATAGACCCATTTTGTAAATTTAAAAGTCAACAATCCATTTTAGTTACAGAAGAGTTTTCAAACTAGTTTACAATAAGGCACAATATTCCACATGTAAATAGAACTGGCAAAGAGCTAGTTTTTTATTTGTTGGTTTGTTTTGTTTTTCTGATCAGGAAGGAAGAGGACTTTCTGCTTCTAAGACAGGGAGGGAAGAGTTCTACTTTCAGCATGCTTGAAGTCACATGACCAGGCTGTGCCTGCATCTTGTTGGCATCTGCCAAGCTGTTCTGTGCCAATGTCACATTCAGGTTTTCTGCACAAATAACCAGAAAGAAGGTGTGTGTGTGTGTGTGTGTGTGTGTGTGTAAAGGAGCACTGGGAGAGGATAACAGACAGCTTCTTGGTGTTTCTTTCTGTGCCCAGACCTTTAGTAACATAAGAGGAATTGCTCACTTGATATAAAAACTGAATCCAAAAATTTAGATGTAGTGTGACAATTCTGTCTTTTAAAGAAACTGGCTGTACAAGAAAAATAATTTTTATTCACAGTAATAAATACTAAAGATTTTAGTGCACAAACCACTGAGAATCAGTTGCAACTCTAACTTTTTAAATAGCTCTTTTCAAGCTAGAGGTTAACAGAAGTATAAACTGTATTATTATTTTAGTAATAGTATTATTAAAAAGATTCCAACCATAATTTGCTAGCTGTAGTACTTGGGGGCAGAGGCAGCAACATTTAAGGAACAAGGTTAATCTGATGAAATTGGGATCTCATCTTTCTGCCCATCATAAACTTAGCCTCAGCAGTCAATGAAGAAAATCAGGTTTATAGTCTGATGAAATAAAATTGTGTTTCCATAGTGCACGCAGTGATCTGTGAGCAAAGCACTGACCTCAAGTAAGGCTCGGAGGCCTCAGCTGATGGACTATTGTGAACCAGCCTCTGATAAGCGGCACTGACTCAAATCTGGACTCCGTATTGTGCTGCTTTAAATACACAGCTGCAGGTGCAGACACTACTAGAACACTGTAGATCTCAAAGTCTTAAATTTCTCCAAGGGAGATCATGTCATACAAAATGACAGGAGAACCTGTATCATGTTGCCAACACGGGGTACACACCAAGAAAAAAAACATGCAAACACAACGATGACAGGTCCTTGCTGCAACAAATGCAGTCCACTGTTCATTAACAGAACAGGCAAAATCCAACACACCCAAGTCTGTAATGTGAAGACCTTGGATTGATGTGTTAAGACAGAGAACCAGTACTATTTCACTGTTGTAATTTGGTAAAGCTGCCAGGATGTGGCTCACTGTGTAATTTAGTTTTCTGATGATATTCTAGGTGAAATTTTCAGACTCACTTCATTCCTTCAAAGCCATCTGGCCCATCCACCTTTCATGGCTGATGACAATTCATTTTCTCAAGTGGCATTGGGAATAAATGTGCTTAGTTGTATTTAAGTCATATTTACTCCATGTGAATTTTAAGTTATGTCCACCCCATATTCTAAAGACATTTGGTTGATAACTGGCAATAATTTTCATGTTAAGATATTTCTCTACGCGATTCACATGGATCAAAAGTCTCAAACTCAAAATCATGCAAGTTGTCATGAATATGGCCCTTAGTTTTTTTCAGTAAGAAAAGATACTTGAGACTTCTACATACATTTTACTTTCTACATAAAGGTCCCACAGTCTCTCGCAAACCTTCTCCTTATGGTTGGATGCATAGATAATTGCCTCATACAATTATGGAATTATTAAGAACCCAAATAAAATACAAGCTTTCCTTTATTACTACGGATGGTTTCTTTTTGCAACAAATACTTGGTTTCTTGTTGATACAGTCTTAAACTTTGATAGCTTGAATTTTAAATTTGGTCATATTAATAATTAGTACAAAGGATTTAGTTTTTCATTATCTACAGAGATTTTTTTAACCAAAGTTACATTGTAACACACAAATGCTGTCTTGTCTTTAAGGCACAACATATCAGTATGAACATTCTGTTTGCCAAACTTAAAGAAGAGACAATATTATATTCCTGTTTCCCCTCTCGGCCCCTCCCCGACAAATTACAGAAAAATTGCATCCACTTTCAAAGTCGGCTGCTAATAAAGTCACAGTAAATTATTTTCATCAATAATTTACACAAATTACAGGTCTAGATAGGACTGCCCCTATACAGTCTGAGTGCATTCCAATTCAGATTTTCTGGGCTAGGTAGGCTAAAGTCATACTCAAACCTCAGGGCTGAGAGGATCTCCCATTTTGAGGAATGTTGTTGATCACCTTGCCACACGGAGCTCAGGTGCTGCTACTTGGGAGGGTTAAGATTTCTTCGCTAAAGCTGTTCATTCCAGTTAGGACTCATTCCTTGTGCATCAGCAATTTCCACAGATTTTTTTTAAACCATTATTGTGGTGTAAATATAAGACCATAGAGTTTCCTTTCTGTAGCACTAAAATTTAATTCCATTCAGCAATCTGAATTCTTCATTCTGGAATTCTCATTCCGAATATGATTTTATCCTTTAAGACAATTTATATGTGTAGAGCCAGAGGCATTGAATCACACATAAAAATTCAGTGTACTTGAAATATAAAAAACCATGGATCTCCAGCTAGAGAACACAGTTACAAATACTCTAATTCCAGTGCTTGATGTAGAGCCAAGAGGTCCGAGTGACTTGAAATCCTCCAAAAGGGCATGTTGTGCTGTGTGGTTAATAAAGAAGAGGGATGGGAGAGAGAAGGGGCAGGAATGAAGAATGGGGAGAGATCATAGCCACGGTCTCAGTGAAGCAGCAGCACATACCAGGATGTTCTGTCCACCCAGGTTCAGGGGAGAGTTTAATGGAAGGGTGATCATATTTGAAGGTTTGGCAGCACCAATATGGCAAGGTCACAATCACAGAGAAATAGATCTGAACTGGATTTTAATGACACAAAAGCAAATACCGAAATTTCAGAGGCAGTTCAATCCACCCCACACAAATCTCATTACTGACATCAGCATCTGGGAAAGCCAGCAAGGAGGAAAACCCTACGTGGCTGATGGAAAACAAGTTTTCATCAACACATTGCTCCATCTCTCAGTTACAAACAAAAACTATAAATGTCGTCCTAAGCCCAAGGCTTTCTGTCTATTTGAGAGAAAGGAAGAGTGAATTCTTTCCTATGTAAAAAAATAACTTGAAGCACTACTGTATGAAGTAGGAAAAAACTGTGGGAATAACTATCTTTATTGTCTGTTATAACCAACAACTTAAGCCAGTAGAGTTGGGCTGATCTATTTCACTGGTGTGGGATTTAGAAAGCATTCCGGTGAGCATTTGCAATGGGAGACATATCATCCCCCAGGGGATAAAATTGGGTTCCTGGGTGGTAAAAAATAAAAACCTTAGACACAGCAATGGCTTGTGGCTCTCCAGAGATATGCTGGCATCCAGCAGATTTTTATGGCCTTAAAATTTCATAGAAGGGGTGAGGAGAAAAATCTGTCTAAAAAGATCCCTTTGGAAACAATAATAAAAAAGATAAACCTGCACTATAGCAACTGACAAACAAATGTGCTGCTTGTAAGTTTGGGCTTATTGAAAACCTTCTAGAATATATACATATGGAATATTCTCAGGTATATAATAGAAATATATATTCTGAATAAGACATTTTCTTTAAAAACTAATCATCCTCATAATGATTACCACTGCTATATAAGTCAGTATGGTAGCCACTAGTTACATGTGGCTAATGAGCACTTGAAATATGTTTACTCTAGTTTATAATACAGTCTGAATTTCAAAAAACTTAAAACAGTAACAGCAGAAGAATATAGCCATCACAGCAATGTGTATTGATTAGGTGTTAAATCACAATAGTTTGGCTACACAGACCAATTAGAATAATTATTAAATTAGTCCTATCCGTCTCTCATTACTTTTATTTAACATGACTCCTAGAAAAATTTAAAAAGTTACATATACATCTCACATTACATATTTCAATAGGAGAGTGTAGTTATTCATTCTGATTCCAAAACTTTGATATTTATCCTTTGATATTTTTCTTAAATTTATTCTTTGATATTTATTCTTAAACTTTGATATTTCTTCTTATCAAAGTAGGTCAAATTAAAGCACAGCATGGAAATTTATCTTAAAGCGCCTTTTTTTCATTCAGCTCAGATCTATTTGTGATAACAAAACAGTCTTCAGTATTTCTGCACATGCGATTACTGCTATGTCCAAAGAAAAGCATGCATTCTAGACACCAGGGAAACCAACCACCTGAATTTCCACATAGAATTATAAGCCTTCACCGTCACCAAAACTGTACCTACATAGACGACCATTTGAAAATGGCATTCTATCCAAGATTTCTATCCATTTGGAGTCAGCCTTTTTCTCCTGAAGTGTTAGGTGTAAAGCAGAAGGTATAACAATAGTTTAGCTTTCACACTATGTGAAAGTTTTTACGTTCAGAGGCATGTGCTATTGTTTAAGAAGTAAATTTTAGTCATCCTGACCTAAATATATATTTTTCATAGGCTAAAACCCATGTAAATGTTTGCAGGAGTGGTTGTAATGGAAAAATTGCTGTTTGTTGTGTGTAATTATGGTGCCCATGTGAAAAATCAAAACATCACGGACTCAGGATACTGACACACTGCAGAGGAGATTTCCACAGTGCGTGCCTGCAAGGGTTTCCAGCAGGAGTCAGGAATGCAGGTTGGCTTTCTTGAGGCTACAGCCGGAACTTCATTCAGAACATCCTTGGGGCCAGTGTCCTGTTTTGAGTCATTGACACCGCTAATTAATGCCGAGGGTTTTCTGTGTTACCAGCTCTCTTGACTGGGTGGAAAAACATGGGGAGTTTCAAGTATGACTGCCAACAACGTTTCCAAACTTTCTACAGTGGAAGTACTTTGTCTTACTCCATTTTGTTTGATCTGAATTTACCAGAAACAAAAATCATTTCCTTTGTCTTTATATATAGCTGTAAAATTTTCTATGAAACTATGCTGATATTTTTATAAAACAGAACTTAGATAATAAAAGCTCCAGTACATGCACATGTTTGGTGAAGACTTTAGATAATGATTTAAATTGCTTCAGAACACTAAGGATTACATGCTTTCTATAAGAAACAATGTAAGGCGATGTGTCATTGTTTGAAACTACTAAATCATCATTTTGCTTTGCTTTATAAATTCTATCACTTTTATCTTGGCTTTTATCTTGGTATTGTTTGATAGTCTTGCAGTGTGGGGGGCCAATTCTGTTATTATTCTCCTACTAATGTTGAACTAACCACTTAATGGTTTTTAACTGTCTTGGTTTCTTCTTCAGGAAAATGGGCCAGATTAAGAAAAAAAACTTATATAAATACATAAGGGCTCTGAGATGGCCTGAATATCCTCAGTGCCAGCTGCTTGGCCTCAGTCAAGTACCAATGGCTCACCGAAACACATGAGAATCTTACGGAAAATGTGAGACACATTGCCACTAAGTATTTATGACAAGTTGGCACAAGAGGATTGAACAATACATCTAATTCCAATAGCGCTTATTAAAATCTCTTTTAACTGTTTGTCTTCAGCTATTAAATCTACCCACAGCGTTGATCATCATGGAGCATACCTACTTCTAGGCAATCACAAGGGCCACACAGCAGATGAATCATAAGGCACTCACATGGTTTTTCTATGAGCTCATTAAATGTCTTTATCTTGTTAAATTTCAGATGCTTAACAATAGTTTTTCCTTCACTTTTCTTACAGACCACTGAGTTGCCTATGTCTGTGTTCTCTGAATGTGTACATATGTATACGCATTTCATGGGTGTTGTGTATATATGTACAAAGTCTATATTTATTATATATTTACTTTATACACATAAGTAAATATAATAATCTTTTCCTGCATTTCCTGTCAAATTTCAGGCAAAAAATGCTGGACTCCAAATGGTTGGTTTGAATGTAAGTATTGACCCTCTCATGCTCTTACTGCTTTGCATCCATAAATTTAAATCATTTGTCAAGCTGCCAGTGGGCCAAACTACAAGAATGCAAACACAAAGGCTTGCATTAGGAATATCACACCAACATTGTTTTGAGACAGGTTACCTTTTTTGCTGCCTGTTCTTCTTCTACACCATCCCCAATTACAACATATACTACTTTTCTGCCAAACCTTTGCATTATTCGTTCAAAGCAACTTTCTTTTCCTGGAAGATAAATGAGATAAAGTTCAGAGTGAAGTTACCTGGTTAGCAGCATGTTCCTCATCTCGGCCATCTCCAATCACAACATAAGTTATGTTAGTGCCAAATCTGGACACTATACGCTCAAAGCAGCTTTCCTTGCCTGAAAAACAATGCACTGCTTATTCTTCCAGCCACTGCATTCATTAATCTAAAGATTCATAAAGTGTTAAGTTCACGTCTCCTGAACATCTCAAAGTAGCTTCTGATCTCTGGGTTTATGAACACAACATACACCTTCGAATAACACAAGTGTTTACTAAGAGCAGATATGAAACAAGTATGTTTCATGCTTTAATAATGTCAATGGGGTTAAACATCTGACTTACAGAAATTGTTAGCATGTTTTACTCCACCAAAAGAATACTGAAGAAAATTTATAAGCGATTATAAACTTTAACAACATGTGTTTGTTTAATCCTATTAATCAATTTCATTTGATTTATCTTAAGTAGCAGAGACAAAGTCAGCTGAATATATTGTTATGAAAAACTGAAGTTTTGCCTCTAAGGAAAGGAAATACGCACTAAGATGTGGTTTTACCTGGATGAACAATTCCTTTCTTCAGGTGGATGGGAATAATATTTTCCAATTAATTACACTAAGGGTGCTTCCCAATTGGGCCACAGCACTGAAAACACTAGCATGCTCTGACTGCACAAGAGAACAACATTGTGGGGATCCTCCATGTTCTTTGTTTTTAAAATAAAGGCATTATTTTCTGAGCTTCATTCCCAGAATATCTATGCAGTTATGGTTACTTTTGTGTTTATATCTCCAAAAAATAACATTAAAAGGAAAAATGATTTTTTTTCTGAGTAGATATAAGAAACAATCTGGCCACTATAAAAAATATATTGTCCTCAAACAAAAGAAATGTGTATCCTTTTATAAGATTACTGTAATTGTCAAAAGGCAAAATCACATTGTAAATATGAATTCTGCTAGCCCACATGTACACATTTATATAAAAAATGTAAGAGATTGGTATCAGGGTTCTGAATTGTAGTACATAGCACAATTTACTTTATAAAAGTTTGGTTATCTTTAACTATCCTCCAGAAACAGCTGCAGCCGGGGCTCCTTTTGCCAGTGCCAATATCAGCCTTCCACAAGGCCCAGGGCAGGCTATTTTTGGTGAGAGATTTTAGGATTTTGAACTTCTCTTGTCAATGTGCCAAAACCTAAGTTTGTTGACCTTCAGGGCACATTACACAACCCATTAATTTTCCCAGGCATTTCCTTGACAGACGGTGGAATACATGTGCTGTTTTCTTTAACTCTTTCAAGATGGCAGAGCCTGATGGAGTTTTGTTTTTGAGTGTTTATCAGAAGTCCAAGTATGCAAAATCTACTTAAAGGCAAAGATAATTATCTAAATAAATAAGCAAGATTGTAGTTCTTTGGTTGCTACTAAACAGTTTTCTTTTGGAAATGCAGAGTCCAGCCACTTATATTTTATGAATATTTCAATTATGTTTTCTGATTCAAGAAAGTTTTTATTTTTTTATGGATGCTATTTGAATCCATCTGTGACTCCTTGGTAATGCCAAAATTGTATTTTTATTTTAAAGATTACTTCCTTCATAGCTCCTTGGCCTTTTGTCTAAGATCAATTGTAATATCTTAAAGATTACTTTGTATGAAGGATGGAGTACTGTATTAATTAAACTATTAAATGGCATGGATAGCAAGACTGAATATTACTTAGATAACATGTGCTGGAAGTGTGGAATGAGTCAGAAAAACTCACATACTGAGTTTAGAATTCCATTGGCCAACAGTTCTCAGAAATTTTGTACATACACAATGAGTTGCAGAGGATTCTGTGATTTGAACTTTATCCCACTTTGCTTGATGTTCTGCAAAATCTCGATGAAAAGGGAACTAAGCAGAAATATACATTAAGAAAATTCCCCAAACACACATGTGAGTATATTCTATGCAGACTGTAAAATAATTTCCTTACCTATTTTAGTTGCACTGTAAATATTTTCAATGGGGAAAGCACCTCCTAAGCTGTAGAGTAGAACCTTGGCCAGTGCTGGGATCAGTTGGGTTGTTGTTACCAAAACATTTACACAGTTACTCCTGAAACAGAGAGGAAACAGATAAACATGTGTGTGTGTGTGTGTTGTGTGTGACTGCATTAACAGACAGAAATTCCCCAAATAATGGCAGATTATTAAGAATAATGTACAAATCATGATGATATTGTGACAAGGTTATACATGCTATTTGAATCCACCTGAAACTCTACGGTCACGTGAAAATAGTATTTTTAACTTTGTCCACAATATCGTCATGTTTTGTACACTATTCTTAGTAATCTGCTGTAGTAACTTGTCAAAACAAAATGGTATTCAGTCATATGTAGATAAATGTTAAGGAATGAAAATATTTTTGAATAAAATGAGTGGTTTTGAAATGAAATTTGATGATTTACACTGCGACATTTGGAGTTGTTATCATTTCTTTTTTTAAATTATGAACACAAATTGTAAAAGAGAGACAAATATAAAAAAGAAAATGAAAAACATCGATCATTTATTAGATATTCAGAGATAAGTGCACATTTGTTCATTTATAGTATTTCTGTTCATATATGGGTTTTTTCCCATTGGGATCACATTATATACGGAATTTTGTATTTTTCTTTCTTTGTATCTCTCGCTCTTCCTTCCTTCCTTCCTTCCTAGAGTTCTTTTTTCATTTTGTGTATCATGAGTAATTCTTCATCTTCAAATAAAATATATATAAACCCCTTTGACAGGTGGATGAACCATATTTATAAAGCTCAGTTTAACGCTTAGATGGCTTTTGTTGACTCAGTATTATAAATAATGCTACTCCATTTTTTTCTGTACCTTCAAGTTTGCCCTTAGTGTAATTCAAAGTAGCAGAATTAGCATCACAGGCTAACTTAACTTTGCTAAAGCTTCTGATACATAATTCAACAGTGTTTGGTTTTTAGGCCTTCCACTCATTTTGTGGAAACTACCAATATGATAATATTATGTGGATGACTTAGCAAATTTCATAGTATTTAACTATTCAACATATATTAACTTCTTTCACACTGTCCCTTTCTTGTTATGATTTTAATTCTTAAAATCACATGTCCCTACAGTTGCTCTGAAGTCCTCTGTAATAAAACATAGACAGATGTTATACATTACCTATATATAGTAATATAATGATTTCTGTTTTTATTTTGCTACAAAGAAACCTCTTTGGAAAAATGATGAAGGGTGTTAACCTCCTCCTCAGAGAAATACACATGCTACTAAATGTTACACACAATTTAGGGGCCCCGGAGTTGCATATCAGTTTTTTTTCCACTTTGGCCTCCATGTCAATAGATAAAAAAAATGACGAGGCAGTAGGTTCCATTTTCAAACAGTTTTATTTGTTAGACAATTCCTTACATGGAATTAGAACATCCGTTCCTAGGATTCCTATGCATTCATCCTAATTCTCTCCTTCATAGACAGAGAAGCACCCGGTTCATTTTCAGCCTAACATCTCTAACAGCTGAAACTAATGATTTGTTTCACATAGGATTCTTCCTCAGACTAAACTTTCTGGCTCCACCAACTGTTTCTGCAATGTGGTTTCCATACCCCAAATCCTTGTGTCTCTCACACCAGCACAGAAGGCTTCAACTCTTGTCACACCACCCATCTAGAACTGGGCAGAGGGCTCTGTCATGGCTTCCCCCCCTTGAACCCTGCATTCTATGCACCAGGCTTCCTGCCATTTGGACTTTCTGTTATCAGTGTTGGCCCCATCACATCACAGGGTTGCAAGCTACATGCCAAATTTGACACATACCCATTTATTTTCATGCTCTCCTTACTGGATTCTCTTTTTACTCTGCTAAGTTTTCTATGTGTCCGTACTCGATTAGTACAAATAGTATTTCTTTCTTAGCATTGCTATGCTATTCATTTCCTAAGCATGCCTTTATTTATTCATCTAATTCAGAAATAAAATGATGGAATAGAAAAGTACAAAGATTAATCCCATACATTAGCTATTACTTTCCAGGTTTATATTACTTTATGAATTAGCATTCATGGCACAAGTTTTTTCAACTTGTAAATCCACTTTATTTTTTATATTACCAAGTCAGTATTTTATTGTATAATTCAAATAACACAAAATTTAGAAATTTCTCAAGATTTTGTTCTTGCTTTTCTGATGCACTTAAATTATGTATTTTATCTGTTATGGTCTAAAAGATCTAAAATAAACATTCTTTTTATAAAATGAACATCCTGCTTTATTTTTTCTATCATCCCTGTACTTTGTTGCCAATATGATGCCATTTCCTTTGTCATTAGAAGTCGTGGCCTTTCTGTGGGGATTATCAGTAGTTAAGAAGAGAGATGGGTGGAAAGATATAATCTCCTGGTTATTCTGAGAAGCAGCATCCCCAAAATACACAACACACACACACACACACACACATACACATTAAAAATAAATGGACTCAATGAATTGCTCTTTTCAAACTCTTAATTGCCTAAGAATTAAAATATTTTTATCTATATAGTATTAGACCTACATGTTCTATTTACTTAATGTAAAAGGGCAATAATCCCACTTACCTAGTACTAATAATCGATAAAGACTTAAGTGCATTTGTGAGCCAGGAATCTGTCAGGCCTTCAATTTCTGCCCTCAACTGCAGCCAGGCATCCCTCTTGGCAGGGCCAAGGAGTCCTGTAACACCGAAGAACAAGGAGGATCAAGAGAGGAGCTTTTTCTCTGGGAGATCTAGGTTGGTGTTCTTTTTTGTCAAGTATAGACAATGTTTATTTTAATTTGGACAGAAATGGGGAGAGAGGCAGACAGATTGATATTGCTCCTTCATTCTATAAATGAGTGCCCACTCATTCATTCAGTGGATAGTCACTGGGCAAATTCTAAGTTCAGGTGCTAGGCTAAACATGGGGAACATAACAACATCACAGTGGAAAGTGGATCCCAGGTATCCTGTCACAAAGCCTAGAAGCTGGTGGAGTGAGCAACAGTCACTTTACAACTGCCAGGCCTGGGACTCACTGCAAGGTTTTGAAATGTGTTAGGTGTGAAGAAGTAATGGAGCTCTACCAGCCTAGGGACATAAGCATCAGATACGGCTGCCTGAAAATGTTTAGTCTTTTACTAATCACAATCATTTCTATCCTGAACCAGTTAATAATGTAATTATCACATACAGCTACTGGAATGTTTTTAAAACTAGTGCTGCTATAGGTATTTTATTTTATAAACATAAGTTAAGAACTGTTCAAGTCCTAGACCGTTGTAGACAACACTGGGAAGTTAAATGGATGTCATGGTAAGAAAAGAATGTAGGCACACTAATTTCTCATTTTAAAAGATGTCACTTTTGTTTTCATAATAAAACAAAATGACACATCCATTCAAAAGAAAGGTTTCTTACTTGAAATGTGTTTGAGAATACTGGGTGCACATATACATGTAGATTTTTTTAAGTTAAAATTTATACTTTCTAGCAAGTATCATCTGTTCTCATTTCATAAAGAGGTGTTGATAGGTAGAACTCTTGAAGACATTGATGTAGGAAAAGATTTTATGAAGAAAACCTCAGTAGCATAGGAACTAGCACAAAGAATCAACAACTTGGATCTCATCTTATTAAAAAGCTTCTGCACTGCAAGAGAAACCACCAACAGAGCTAAGAGACAACCTACAAAGTGGGAAAAAATTTTAGCAGCTGTACCTCAGACAAAGGACTACTATCTAGAATATACAAAGAATTGAAAAAAATCAGACCCCCCAAATTCAAAGACCCAATTCAAAAATGGGTATTTGAAATGAACACATATTTCTCAGACAAAGAAGTAGAAGCAGCAAATAAATATATAAAAAAATGTTCTACATCACTGGTCAATCGAGAGATGCAGATGAGAACAGCACTGAGATTGCACCTCACCCCAGAAAGAATGGCTGCTATCAAGAAATCAACCAATAACAAATGTTGGTGGGGTTGTGGGGAGAAAGGAACCCTGCTCCACTGTTGGTGGGAGTGCAGACTGGGGCAACCACTGTGGAAATCAGTATGGAGATACCTCAATCAACTAGGATTAGAGGTCCCATTTGACCCAGCTATTCCCCTGCTGGGGATCTTCCCCAAAGAATTAAAAGAATCATATCACTGAGATATATGCTCACCCATGTTTATAGCGGCACAGTTTGTAATAGCTAAAACTTGGAAACAGCCCAATTGCCCAACAACTGGAGACTGGATAAAGAAGGTGTGTTTTATATGTATATATAAAACAGAGAGTACTACTCAGCAATAAAGAATGAGAAACTAGAGACATGTATAACTAAATGGATGCACATTAATGCCATACTCTTAAGTGAAATAAATATGACACACATGTAAATACTGAATAGTTTATCTGGTGTGAGAAACTGAAAGTGTAAATAAAGATCAAAATGAATAATTGATAATGTGAAATAGGAAGAAAAGGTCTAAAGGGGTAGGGGAAGTGGGAGGGGTAGGGGAAAGGAAAGAAGGGAGAGGAAAAAAATATGAGAAAAGGAAAAATGGAAACAAAGTCTTTGTAAATAGGGAAGGGTGGAGGGGGTGAAGGGAGGGCAGGGGAAGGGGGAAAAATAAGAACCAAGATACTCATGTACAGGTACAAGTTCCTCCCAATGATGAATGTAACTGCTGTATACCTAAAATGTACCAATAAACTTAATTTAAAAAATGAGTTGCTGATGTATGAGAGAAAATGAACTCTTATATGGTTGCATAAACTTTTTAAGATAGGAGACTATTTCTTAGTAACCTTGTTGAATTGAAAATAATTTAAATAGTACCCTGCAACAAAGAAATAGTGACATATATGAATGATAAGTATTTTCAGATTTCTAGAACGGTTATCAATTTTAAAGTTAAACATATTGGGTCAGTGATTTAGCTCAGTGGCACCATGCCTGCCTCACAAATGCAAGGTCCTGAGTTCTATCCCTAGTACCAATATTATCAGTAATTGATTTTTAACTTGAAAAGTTAATTATTTGATTTATGAGTGTCTTGGAAATAGCATTAGAGTGACTTAGGAGAGGAGTTTTCCTCCAGAATGTTGGGCAAGGCAGTACTCCGTCCCTCTCACAGGGGCCAATTCCCTTTTAGTTCTAATGTTAATATTGTCTACTTTTCTTGTTTTCTTATAGTTGTTACCTATTGAGTATCTATTGTGTGGTTCAATAGTAGGCAGACACAGGGTGACCTGACACAATCCCACCCTAAGAATGTATCTGGTGGACGTGTATACTATACAGAAATTATTTATTATACTGTATTCTATGACATATATGTACATGTACAATGCACACATTTAGATGCATTATTCCCTTTTGGACCTGGTTTATGTGCTTTAAACATCTTTCGTTTTTGAAAAGGGAAACACTCTGGGAGAAGAGCTTTAACAACTGACCTTAGGAATCTTTTTGACCTAAAATTGATCCTAGTGATAGAGATCATTCAAGTTTATTATATCTAGAGACACATTCAGGATCTTCGTCTTCATGCTATAGGCTTTGATGTGATGTCTCAAATATATGGACGAGTATTAAATGGTTTAAATATTGCTACAGAGTAAGTGAACTTTAAAAAACCATGATAATCTTAACAGTATTTGTATGTGGTAAAGATATGCTGCCAGATAACATGTAATTTTTTTAAAAAGATAATTTAGACCTGTTGAACGACTGTGAAGTGACATAAATCATTGTCTATATTTATGATGATAGGGTTACAGAGAGGTAATGATCACCCATAGCTATTTCAGTGATCAGGGCTTTGGTCTTTAGGAAGGTTTGCTTTCTACTGCCTCCAGTAGGTCCCCTGTCTATTTTTCACACTAATGTCACCACAACCGGTTCATGAAGTAATTGAATTCCTTGCCATCCAACTTGTATATCTGTGCACTAAGTCTCACAAACAATGTCTAATTTCTCTGACAGGCATGCATGTTTTTTCTTCTGCAGTTAAATTTTTCCCAACAATTCAAAGAAACTAAATGTTATTTGATATGAGCTTTTGCTGAATCTTTCTACAGCAGGATAATCTCTAACATGAAACTGCACTTGAATTCTGCCTATACCTGTGATGCCTTCATTAGATGAACTAAGCCGCACATACCTCCGACATTGTTCTTGTAGGTGTTATATAACTCTTTTACTCTTCTGTAACGAAAAGCCAACTTCCTCATCCAGTCCACTCCTCCTCTTACACCTGTTGGCAAACAAAGGTTTGCACTACTTGCAGCTGCATGGAAGCCATCAGTTGCAAAACTGTAGGTACTGCAACACCCAAAATACATTAAAAAGAAATAAAAGAAATAATTACAGGTGCAAAACTCCATAGCTGAATTAATGTAGGAAACAGCATACTGAAAGGCATGGCTTACCTTAAGTCCTGCCCGTTATCATCAGAGGAAACATCATCTATATGAACTTGATCGCACTCCTGTTGAAAACATGGGAAATGTGACTCGTTTTCAAACCATGCTTGTCCACTTGTAAGGTTTTCCACAGGCCCATAAGATCAACTTGTGCCAGAAGATGGCAGCATTTGTCCATCCATCCCACCACCCCATGTTTGCTTTAGGTCGGCGTACCCACGCAGTTGACCTGATTTTAAGAGTGTGCTTAGAGCAAATGGGAGCTCCTGGCTAAGGAGCCCCTTTGCCCTTGCTGTTCTAACAGTCCTGTCCCACCTTCGGATAGTCCGCAGGGTCCCAGTGAAAGGCACCAGTGCTACTCTCTAAAATGCAAATCCGACAGTGTGACATACATCAAAGAGATCTGAAAATATGGCCTGTGGGTTTCTGTAGAGCAATTTAAATGCAATTTTAATCTTTAAAAAGTAAGAAATAGTCTAATCTTAAAATTAGCGATAAAAACTTCTCTTTTGAATCTTTGTGGTCCATCATGTGGGTTTCTTCTTACCATTTCTGCCATGCATATTTAAGCAATGCCAGTTTGAATATACAAAAAAATTTGTTTGGTCTGAACACTTCAAGTGGTTACTATTATTTACTAACTGCTGAGCAGCAACAGAAGAGCTTGACCACAGAGTATGTTGTCCTGTGAGATTTCTGTGCCTTCCCGCTTTTTTTGAAAGACGAAGGACATTATTTTAAATGTCTTAGTCTTTTAAGATGGAAAAAAGATAACAACCATAGAAGCTAACATTTTTCTTTGTTAAGGCTTTTAATATTTTAAATGACAATAACATTTATAAATAAAAGGGGAGTAAATTTTAGGTCAGTATAGCCACACAACTGACCTGATGTTATGTTAGAGTGTGCAAATGAGAAAGCAAATGAGAACTTCTGGGTAAAGGATTCAATTTGTCTTTCCTGACCAAAGAGTCCTATTCTGCCTTGAAATAATCTACAAAGTCCCAGTGAAATATTGCATGATTTGATAGTGGTATTTGATGATGAGGGCATTTAAAATACCTAGCCCTCAGCTTGTGATTAATAATAAATTATTATAATTTATAATACATAAATAAATAACCTCAGAAAAAGTACGTCTTGGCCTTGGGGCCTCTTTTAGCTCTCTCAAATTATTTACATCACAGTCATTGATACTGACTATACATAGTGCTAGTCATTTAAAATAAAATTTTTAAAAATCTGTTAAATTTGAAAACATGCCATACTGAACAAAGGCTTTTCAGTTATTATTCATTTCATTACATGACTTGGGAATATCAGTAGCCCAAACATTTAATATCTAGCTTCCAGCTTTCTATACAGAGCATGTTAATCATGTTGCAGTTGACTCTGCCTTCCTTTAAAATATAAAACTCAGAGACAGCCTACTCAGTACATTTTAATGTGCAACCCAAAAACCCAGGTACACTAATTTTAAGTGTTCATAAGGTTTACATAAGTTATGGGTTTAGTAAGTTTTGAATCAATATCTACCTACATTCATAGGTAGAATCCAGAAAATTTCAACCAGCTAGAAGTTCCTTAGGGGTGGTATTTCATTCACCAGGATGTACTCCCTTTTAAGAAATAATCTGGTGAAGAATAACTAATCACACAAGAATTCTTTTTTAAACAAATGGCAGAAGTCTGGTGAATCAGAATTCTTGACAGGATTGCAACAATCACTTAAATTTTCTAATACAGTGTTGTGTGATATCAAATAATATACTAGATGGTGAAGAAGCCTCGTGAATTACCCTGGTAATCAGAAGGTAATTCTATATTTAATACTCTCATCCTACTTTTTAAAGCAATTTTTCTGACATTTCAAGTATTAACTCTTATGATTAATTTATACATAGGTTATCCAAAAAATGTATTTTTTACTCCTGAGGACAACAGTATATCAAACTTATTGGACCATGCATTCTGTATTTGAAGTTATGTTTGAGGTCTTTCCAAATCTAACTTCTCCTTAAATTTATGCTTAGTTAACTCTGCTTGTTGACTCTGGACGTTTGCCCGAGGATTACAGTCCAGTGAAAGAACTTGAATTTCACTTACTTACATTTTTAGGAATATCTAGATAATTGTTCTTCAATTAGTTTTCATTTTGAGGAACTATTCAAGAATCATTTTGACTCAATCCTGAATACCTAAAAAGCACTGTAGTGCTTTGGTTTTAACAAAATTTAGTGAAAGACCTTAACATTTGAAATAATTCTAGCGCTAATCTTAAATGCTTTAATTTTGTCTCATAAAGTGACCAGAGTTGTTGCTGATATTTTGCAGTTATGATCCACAGCAGTTTTCTCTGACTTTTGTGATCCTCAACTCCCTGGTGCCTTCTTTTCTGGAAGTTATTCTAACTGAAATAACATTTTATTTAAACAGAGAGGACTCTCTTCTTAGGGGGGCAGAGTGAGCATTTGCCTTCTTTGCAGTTGGGTAGGACATAGTGAAAGGTCTATTAGGATTTAAATTTGTGTCTTTTAAGGACTTATGAGAGGAGCAGCTGCCGCTGCATATGTTGCAGCATTTGAGTCTCAAATTAGATTTTTAGGTTATAAAAAAGATCCTGAGCGATTAAATATACAAGGGGAAAAAAACCCACAATAGGCTAACAGTGGAGTTACTCTCTTGAGGAATTCTTTCCTCAGCAGAAGCAGAATAACTTAATTCCAGTTGTGGAGCCTTTGGAATCAGGTTGAGAAAGCTTTATTGAAAAAAATAAAAACACTGTGTGCTAGCAAAGTTGACTTTCCAGCTCTACTTTCACACACATGCAGGAGAGTGGGTATGTGTGTAACTACACTGAAAGATCATGAAAGCTACTGCATAGATTTCATTAGCTTAGCACTAAGAAACCTTTTAGCTTCCTTGGGCATTTCATCTTGTGTGTGCATGCATAAATAGTGAAGAGTCAATCAATCTATGTGCAGACTCAATCAACTATGTTATTGATCAGGTGCAGAAATGTTGAACAGCTAGGCTTTAGGGTTTAAGTCAAACAGCATTTTTATCAGATTTTAAAAACACAATAAAAAAAGTGAAGAATCAATACTGATATTTTTTTCAGTTACCTGAAATCCTCTCATGTATTTTAAAAAATGCCTTTAATATAATATCTAACTCAAAATACGAAGTCCTAAAGCACCACAGATGGTCACTGATGTAAATGCATCACATGATAATTTTACCTTCTCATGTTAGCGTTATGCTAAAAGGTAAGTAGTAAATTTATTATATCTGGCTCTAATATGCCAGTAAAAAATAAAAGTTCATTCATTCTCTATATTTCTAATAAAAAAATAATTAAGCAAATGAGGTAAACACTATCAAACTTGGATAAAATCACATATAAAATTTCTTATTTCCTTTTAAAGCTCTGAAAGGAGTAATCAACTTAAAATCTCCTGTAGACTGAGACTCATCCATATTAATGACCGGAAAATGAACTTAAGACTTTATCATTGCATATAAAGCTTTCAAGTTTCAAAAAGGTTCAAATGTGTTTCTATTAACTAGTGTATTTAAAGGCATTCTGTACATCAGATAGCAATAACTAGTAAGATCAATGAAATCAAATTTTAGGTGATTATTATTTCTTATCTAAAACTGGAAGACGTGCTTAGGAATACTGACCTTTCATACCCTCCATTAAATAAAAAAATAAAACCTCTTTAAGCAGTCATTTTATTATCCAATAAAAGTACTGACTCACTGCAGAGAAAACAACAAATTGTTACAACACAGATGATTTTCAGAAAGTACATTTAAGCGTTACACTGAAACATTTACTTTTAGTCTCATGTCTCAAATGTAAATCTGGATTTAAGACCTTGTCAATTTAAAAAATATATTTAAGTCAATCACTAAAACGTGACTTTTTTTCTCACAGTCTTACTTTCAGCATAGTATGAGGCAGAAGTGCTGTGATGACAAATCTCCTTCAAAATCCCAGTTCTACTACACAGCTAGCAGGTAGCCTTGGACATGATTTTCATACTGTGGGTCCTGCAGCTTCTGCCTCACAAATGTAATGTGACATACATGTTTATTTTGAAAATTATCGAGTAATTAATGGAAACTCCAGTATAAAATTCTAGAACAAGTTATGGATCAGTAATAATAATTGTCCCCTTCATTCACAATGTGATTATAGGAATACACTTTATCTCAATGAGAAGCCATGAGATAGATAAACACGTCATTTTTAAAAAGAAAGAGAAATGTTTATTTCATCATAGTCACAATCTTCAAAGAAGTATTTCTGCCCTGTGCCCAAACTACTTAGCTATTTCAGATTCTATGTCGAAGTCATTAGCACACAGATTATATTCCTTGTTATGGTACATATATAGCTATGCCTAGGCAAATTTTTCTCATGCCTTTTCATTTTGCTGTATTTGCTTTCTCCTCCTCTTGTCTCCATTACCAGTTAAGATTAGAAATGGCAAAGAAATAAGATTGAGAAAAAAGAAAATAAATTTTTTCAAACTCATCAGAAATGCTATATACATAGCTCTAGCACTGTTTCATGCAGAAGGAGAGGGAATGAGGAAGGATAATGTTGCCCGAAGATAGGTTTCTGACTATCTTCAAAATTCCACAACGCACATTACTGCCAAGAAGAGTATCTGTGAACATTCTCTAGTGAGTAACCTAAAAGTATCCCAGCTAGAAACCAGGAAACGCTGACCCTCAAGGTTTCAAAGAGGCTATGGTTGAGAAACTGAAAGACACAGGACAAGAACACAGGAGTGTCTCATACTGGACAGGAAGGGTGACCAACTCCTCTTCTACAGTATTTCTGTTGTTAATCTGTACCAGTACACACGTATTATTCATGAAAACAACTGTGCTTTCTCTTTATATTTGTACACATGGAACCACGTAAGTGTTTTATGTTGGAAGCAACTATTCTTACTTTTTAAGATTCTTACCTCCAAATCATTAAAAAACAAATGTGTATCAGCAAGGTTAAAAATCATTTCCTCCATTCGGAGTCCTAGGGTTACAGCCATAGGGGGATCCTGGAAAGAAAATGCACACATAATGAGGTCAAGGTCTCATCACCACAATTACTAGTATTAAAAATATCTTAAGTAAATATTGTTGTAAGGTGTAGGGAGGTGGATGTTTCATGGATTTGTACTGAAGATTCAACAAAATTTTCAGAAAGGGAGGGAAAAAAAAGAGCTTAATGCTTGCATAAAAATACACAGGAGGAAAAAAATCCCAGTGTTTAATAAACTATTACAGTAGGGTAACTACAGTTAACAATTTATTGCAGATTACAAATAGCTAGAAGGAATTATTTTAAAGGTTTCTAACAGAAAGAAACAATGAATGTTTGAGAAAATGGATATGCTAAACAGCAATTTGATCATGCATACTGTATACATGTACTGAAATACATGAAGTACCTCCAAAGTACATATATTATGTATGAATTTAAAACTTTTAAAAAGTATGCAGTATAAAAAGAGTTCCATTATCCAAAAAAGTGCATTTACAAAAGATTGACATATATTATAGTGATACATGGATATTCATGATTATAGCAGCACAAATTTATACTCGCCAAATCTTGGAAAAGAGCCTATATGTCCATCAACAGATGATAAAGTAAATGTGATATTTATACACAATGGAGTACTATTCTGCAATAAAGAAGGATAAAACTGAGGCATGTGTAGGTAAATGGATGCATCTAGAGACCATAATGTTGAGTGAAATAAACCAGACACACAAGTTTAAACATTGTCTGGTTTCTCTTATATGAGAAACTCAAAATATAAATAGAGAGCAAAATAAAAGATATGAATAGGAAGTAGGGAGATTTTTTCAAATGGGAAAGGGAACAACAAAAGGGGGGAGGATTAAAAAGGGAATTGAAGAAAAAAATGGAAATAGAGCTTTTTCAAATGGAAAGGAGATCAAGATTTGGAGGAGCAGGGAGGGATGGGACGGGAATGGGAAAAAAGGAATAAAGTTGTGTTATGTACATGGACAAACTCCCCATGATAAATGCATCATTATGTACTGTAAACATGTACTAATTAAAAACGCCTTAAAATAAAAATTGAAAGACCAATCTAAGCCTTAGAAGTGCAGAATTCTGGGAGAAGAGGGAAAAGAAAGGTTGAGACACAGGCAGATACATCTGAGAATTTATGGGAATTTCCACACACGGAGAGATAACTTAGGACATATTTTCATCTAAACCAGTGTGTTCATGAGAAAAAGGAGAAGAAAACCAGCTAGTTCATATGACACAGTTAAACTTACTCTATGGAAAATCTTTTAGAGCAAGGTATTTGGGTGGAGTACTAGAGAATGGGGCAAATTTGTTAAAAAGAGAAAGATATTTGGTTTTCAAAATGGTGATGAGAATTAGAATATCGAGAAAAATAAATCAGTGGGTGTTTGTAGGATTGGAGAAGAGGATTTGTTTGTAGGATTTGAGAAGGATTACATTAAAGTGGGATGACAAAGATGGTAAAACAAGGTACAACCACTGCTAATTATGAACTACATTTTAATCAACAGGAGTATCTCTTACTATGTGTATAGTTTGTCTAAACTGTATTTCTCTAGAGTTAAAGAGGGAAAGGTGAGGGATGACTAAATGATAATTCATCTACTAAGTATCACGCAGGCAAAAATATATACTTTTAGAAAGCAAAAGGGTTAGGGAACAGTCAAAAATGGCTCAATTTTTGTGTACAGCAACCAAGATCTTATACAGCTGCAAAGAGTTGAGAATCACGACCAATTTTTACTTTACCATGATCAACAACAGCTGAAAGCCTGGCATCGAGAGAGGTAAGATTTTGAAAAGTGAGGAGAGTTTAAGGATAGGGATAGCTAAGTAATTCACGCACAAAATTGTGTTGAGGGATAGCTCAAAGAGACAGGCAACCAGTGCAACTCCAAAGACACAGGCATCAGAAAACCTGGAAGGGACAAATCCATAGAATCTGAGACCAGATGGGTGTTAGCAGGGAGAATACGGTTTTGAATCAGGCTGACAAGTCTAGAAGAACACTATTGGTTTTGGCTGAGAAGTTATTTTGAAAGACATCAGAGGGTGATTTGGGTGGAGTGGCTGGGCCAGGCGCCAGACTGTAGGGATTTGAGAGGAGAGAAATGAAACCATTTTCAACATTCTAATAAATGCCATTTCAAGCAATGTACTTAAACTTGGGAAAATGTAATGCTAACTTACTTCAGTTTTACGGTAAGAACAGGCAACCTTAGTTGGCCCAAGAGATGTTCATCTACACCCACATGTTAATTCCCTTTGCAAGTGGAAGCCCCTCCCCATTCCCTATCTACACTGCAAGGACCCATTTTATTCTTGTATTTCCTAACATAATGCTTTGAGGGGGAAACGCTAGAGCAGGGGTGGTGAACGCATGGCACGTGTGATATTAGTTTTTCTTTTAAGACAAAAGATGTTGATGTATGAGTTTTCTTTTCTTTTTTTTTCTAAACTAAAACCTCAGTATTCAGGGTTAATTGCAGTGTTGGTGCTTGGTGATAAATAAGTGGGTTTGGGGCTGCAGTTTGGGCACTAGTCTCTAAAAGGTTCGCCCTCACTGCTCTAGAGTGTATATGTATTTGAACTGTCAATCCCTTACTCTGCATCCATTAAAACCTAGAAAACAGGAATTGCAAGCTAAAAAATAGAAATGGAGTGTCGTGGGACTTTGAGGTGACTAGGACAAAGATAAGATTTGATGTGGAAGAGAAGGCTGTGATGCTTTTCTAATTGTTTACATCTCTTCAGCAGGGATTTTTGTGGCATTTTTTTAATAGCTAATATGTCTCACTTTTCAAAAATGGATGTAGACTCATCACAGGCTTAATGGTGCCCTGGTACTGTGTTCTCAGTCCAGCTTGATTCTACTGCCAGATTCTTTTGTCGTGTCTTCAGCAACAGGACCATATGAACAACATATCCACAGATCAAATAAACTGTTTTATCCAACAAATGTGCATTCAAAAATAGAGAAAGAATCACTAAGTGCTCCTTTTCTGTCTCAAGGAATTTCAGAATTCAAGTCCCCTTGTCCTGTTTCTTTCTTTACTTTTTTTCTTCCGTACTAGGGATTGAATTCAGGGGCCTCGTGCATGCTAGGCAAACGCTCTATCACTGAGCTATATTCACAGCCTTCAAGGATACAATGCTTATTTTCTTTTGTTGTTGAAATAAACTCAGAAAGTTGCATACAAGTTTTAAGAAATGTACATTCTTTTCCTTTTGTGTTAAAAATTCTTATTGCTAGACTATTTTCTTTTTGAGAGGAGATGGGCGCTGGATAGGCAGAGGACATAGAAAACTTGTAAATATTCTGCCTAGTCATGAACCTAGGAGCAAAAAATTCTACAGAAATATCAGGAAAAATCAAATGTAATTACAGCATGAAAACACATAATTCCATTAGTGACGCTTTCTGCTTTTGAGGAATTTTCACTGATGCAAGACAATAAAACCGACTCCCACACTACACTGTTATGTTTCTGATGATTCCTGCCCTAAAGATATCTATTTCAGATGGGGTGTAGAAATATCTTACTTAAAAAGTTTTCCTTCTGGAGCACAGGTTGGTTAAACGCTTATCCTGTGAGTTGCCATTTTCCCCCTTTTTAAGTTTTCAATAAAATTATGGAATTGCTCATGTTCATTCCACACATTTTTTACATTTACAGATCAGATTTACAGGGAATGGAAGAAAACATACCATTCCTTTTTGATTGTTACCCATCAATTCCATGCTTTGGAGCCATGTAACTCTCTATGCTACCCTAACAGTGATAGGAAAATCCATGAAGAATGCATTTTGTGCATCTGATAAGCATGCAAGCAAATGTAAGTGTTTTTGAAAAAGTGCAAGAATCCTTTCACAAGCAAGCACAGCATGTGGTATGATGAGAGCTGTATTGGAGCACTCCTTTGGAACGCAGGCCCATGGCACTGGGAGGGCTGGCTGCTTGCTTTTCAAGCTGTGGCTATTCCACATCACACACTGCTGCTACAGCCAGGGCTTAGTTAGCATTTTAGCCAAATACCATTTGGTAACTGGCTAAGTTTAGGTTCGGGCTTTGTCAGGGTGTTTGCTTAGCTTCTTTAGGGCAAGGTTGTTGAAAAGGAGGTGCTGTGTCAGGGTTCCTTAGAGGTGGGCAGCGACAGTCATGCCCCGAGTCAAAGAAAACTGCCTGGAACAGGTCATAGTCTTGATTCTGACAGAATGTCTGGAGAAGCCTTAATGTCAACTACCTCATTTTACTTTTTATTATTTTCAAACTTACCAAGGAACTGGGGTAGCTAAGTCTAAGTAGGCAGATTATGGTGCTCCATTTTTCCAGCTAAAGAACCCACAGATGGCACGTGTGGCCTTTCCATGGTCCTGTGACGCTGGGCAGCCTCAGCCTTGCCAGGCTGCTGAGGAATTCCTGCCAGCGCCTGCAGTTTCACTGTTTTATCAGGCATTTGAGGGTGAAATACACTTTTGGATGGAGCCCAAGTGTTATACAGAGATGTTTCCTCATTTTCATTAGATGTTTATAGGATCACAGGCACTTTATGAATCAAGAGTTGCTGCTTTGTTTTTCCATTCACTGGAGTGAATGTTGAGCTTGGGATCTAAATATAAAGTGATAGCTAGGCCTTGGATAGAGGGGAAAAGTGGGATAATAAAAGGCTAGCAAGGTTGTGTGGAAGTTCTGATGCATATTGTACGTGCATTATAGTTCCAAAAGGATTCAAAGTGTCTACAGCAGTTTAATACAGGGCGAAACTTCTGCCAATTTATTTTGTGTGCTGCTCTATCAACATCCTGAAACTATTCCCAAGACATTGTATTGAATGTAGAGAGAAAAGGAAGAGGGAGGGAGGGAAGCAGAGAGAGAGAGAGAGAGAGAGAGAGGAAGAGAGAAGAGAGAAGAAATAGCCTTTTGCCTTTAAATGTGAGATACTAAGCCAGATGTTACCAGTGTACAACCAAGTCAGGATCAAGTAGGGCGC